TCTCTTTCTCCCCAAGCAATCTTTTCACCCAGTTAGAAGATTACACCACGTCAGACGTGGACTAAGGAGTTTCTCATCCCTGACAGCCACAGGAGAGTCAGAGGGGAGGAAGGCAACCTTTAAGGGAGCTGGGGACAGCAGAGCGCAAGAAGGCTAGGTTGCGGGCAAGAAGGAGTATGTGCCAGAAAGTCTGCCTCAATCTGCAAGCAATTGCGTTTGCTACTAGCTGCATAACAGCCTTGCCCTCGAGACCACCCTGGGAGCTTTGAAAAAAAGCACTGCTACTTCGCACCTCGCCTGCAGAGCTGCGCTCGCTGGCTTTGAACCTCGCTAGATCACAGGGGTTGTGCAAGTCCCAGGAGATTTCTGGTCCTCGCAGGACGAGCCCAGCAATCGCTGTTCTGCCGCTCCCTTCCCTTCCCCGCCAGCCTCTCAAGCAGTCAGCACGCCTGTGTTTTTTTGCTGAACACCATTTTTTCCACCCTGGGAAGACTGGGGAGGTTAAACTCCCCGTCTGAACCGAAGCCCTGGACGAGTGCAACTGAGGTTATAGAAATCCGGGAGGGGAAATGACGAAAACGCTTTATTGTGAATAAAACAAGAGGGAGGAGGGAGAGGCGGAACTTCACAAAGGTGAAGGATGGGAAGTTTGCAGAGCTGAGGATTTAGCCTGTCCCTGAGCACCGGGCGGGGGGTTAGTCATTATTTCCTTCTGTCTCTCTGAGGCTGCAGTGGCACCTCCTCCCCAATTAGCTGAACCTGTCCCACTTGTCGGCTTTTGGTTCAGGGGAAGGTTTCGCTCCTGAGCGGCTTTTCGGGGGGAGCCCGGTCACCCACCCGCCCGCAGCCCCTGGCCCTATTCCCCGCTCGGGATTTACGTGCCAAACCTGGAACAGGGACTTATCTTCCTAGCCAAGCTCCCAGGTCAACTTCCTCGTAGGAAAGCTGATTTATGCCTGTTTATACATATGGAAAAAGAAGGCAGAAGCCAAGCGCGGCATCCCTCCAAAATCTCATTGTCTTTGAGGCGGGAAGGGGGAAGAAAGGGGAGGCAGAAAACCTGAAATGATAAGGTTTGCCTTGTCGCGGCAGGGAGGACTTGACCAGAAAGGCAAACACAGGGTTTTGCGGGGGGGGGGGGGGGGGGGGGGGG